TTTGGTTTTGTGATTTGGGGAGGGTTTAAGGAAACAAAGATTCGCTCAATTCAGAGACAGTCAGAAAGTGTAGGCAATTCTGTGGTTGGGTATCTCAACATATATGATCTACAAGGAGGGCAGAATAGAGCAGGGACAAAGCTGTAGTTGGGAAGGAAGCAACAGTCATTCCTATGAGCGAGGATGAGGGAGTGTTTGGAATTACATGGGTGGCCCAGTGGCCCTGCTCTTGTCTGAGTTTACATAAAATTAGGAAGTGGCCTTGTTCTGTCTCACATTATCCCATTCACAGAGTGGCCCAGTCTGATGTTGGTGTTCTGTGGATTGTTTACGTCCAACAGGTAAACATGACTCAGCCATGAGTGTCCAGCAACCTCCTAACACCAAAGCTAACCGGGTCAGGCCAGTGTCAGAAACTAATTTTCCTTTCTCAGATACGTTGAGCATTTAAAAAAATAATAATAAAATAAAAACCTCAAATTCTACAACTGCAGAATCTCTGGTCTTTGAAAAAGTCTGAGCTCAATAGAGATGAATTTACACAATGTGAAGGGAGCCGAGGGTGGGCTCCACCGTCTCTAAGGTAAATAAACACACACCCTGTGAGTGCACTGTTGGTGCAGAAGCGGCATCCTGCCTGAGATACACACAATAAAAAAACTTTTTTTTTTTTTTCTGATTTCAAATGGTGTCATTTTGTCATTGTTGCCTAAGACTGCTCACCCCACAGAAAGGGAAGTTCTGCAGAACAAATATCCACTATCACTCTTCAGGGCCAAATCCCTGCATACGAGACATTCAGTTCAGTAAAGATGCCTAGAATGGTCATCATTGGGATGACGGTATTCTTCCACAGAGAGAATGCTGAGAAGTGTGGCTATTGTGCCGTAGCAGGTGTACAGCACGTGTTACGTCAATAATATAAGGTGAACAAAGAGAAAGGGGAAAGGCAGCAAGAAACAGTTTAAAGAGCGAGAAACAGTGAACGGAAAGAGAGCAAACAGGAAATGTCTCTTCCCAGCGGTGCCAGGTCTCTCCAGGCTGGTGGCAACTTGGTGCTGCCCTATCCTGGGTGCCAAGACCTCACTCCCTTCAGTTCTCAACCCTCTGCTCAAAGCTGCCAGACCGTGGGCTCCCAAATGCCATAATTATTCCTGAGCAAGTCCCCCAGACTCAGATGGAATAAAGACTACATTTTTAAAATGTAGTTGCTTATCTTAAAGTTAAATTTGTTGAATTTTTTAAACTGTTCTCTATTCTGAGATTATACCTATTGTTTTTATATTAATGTTTTAATTAAAAGTTCAGTTTGGGATTCTGGAGTTTTGGGGAATTTACTTGAAAAGAATAAAAGGTTGACCACTGTGGATTATTTCTTGAATTATTTGGGGGAATGAGGAGGAGATCTATGAAATCCAAAAGGATAAAATCACTAACTTAAGGAACATAATTTTATTTTTTAAAGTCTCAGAACACTTATAGACGGTAGTATCAGAAGAAATACACAAGAATGTAAAAGAACTGCAATAAAGTGATCAAATAGCTTATTTGTTTCTAATCCATATTTTTATTTTAAAAATAATTTTGTTTTAGTATAAAATTATATATATATATTCATTATAGAAAAATGTAAAACAAAAAAACTAAAAAAGAAAATGTTAAGCATTCATTATCCCAATAAATAATGTTATTATTATTTAGCAATAATCCCTACTTACATTTCATTATTGTTCTATTGTGTATTTTTCTTTTTTTTTTTTTAAATATATTTTATTGATTTTTTACAGAGAGGAAGGGAGAGAGATAGAGAGTTAGAAACATCGATGAGAGAGAAACATCGATCAGCTGCCTCCTGCACATCTCCTACTGGGGATGTGCCCGCAACCCAGGTACATGCCCTTGACCGGAATCGAACCTGGGACCTTTCAGTCCGCAGGCCGACGCTCTATCCACTGAGCCAAACCGGTTTCGGCTATTGTGTATTTTTCATTAACACTGAAGTTAACATGCACTTTTATATGTTTCTTAGGCATTTATAATTCCTTCTCTCCAAATTCCCTACCTTCATATTCTTTGTTCATTTTTCAGTGGAAGCCTTGGAGTGTGTTAAATCACTCTTATAAGTACTGAAATGATTAAAAGTCACAATCCCCATTGGTTGTTTTCATTTTTGCATAGTTTTAAAAAGTGGAATATTTTTAAATTTTATATATGCAAATCTATGTTTTATCCTTTGTAACTCCTTCCATTGTTTTCTATTGGAAATCTCTTACCTATTCGGTGATTAAATACAGATCCATCTGTTTTCTTCAAGTTTTTTAAGGCTTTATATACACTTTTCAGTGAGATCCTAAGTATATTACTTTTGAAACTAACCAATCTTCTCAGCACAAGTTATTAAATAATTCATCTCTTTCTTATTGGTTTGTAATACTTCATTTACTATACTTTAAGCTATTTTGTATTCTAGAATAAAGAAATCTATTCATGTCTTAAGTCAGTACCATGAAATTTTAATTGTTATGTCTTCATAGTCTTTTTATATATCTATTTCTATCTGGTAAGGTAAGTCCTTCCCATATCACTTCTTTTCCAAATATCTCTTTGCTCTATTTACTGGTTTGTTTTTTATACCTATATTTTTTCTCCTTGCAAAAGTAATACATACACATTTTTACTTCAAAAGATACAATGTGAAAATAAAAAGAGTTTTAGGTAACTTTTATAATTATTGTATTAAATTCCTTTTAAATTTTCTGTTAATATTTTATGTTTATATTATATCCATAGATTAATTTGAGAAATTAACATCTTCACAACCTTGAAAATGCTCCTCATTTGTTCTTTTCTGCTCTTCAGGAACACTTTTTGGTTTTCTTCATGCAAAACAAGTACATTTCTTATTAATTTTACTCCCAGAAATTGTATGTTTTTAATAGTATTTAAGTATGATATTTTTCTCATTTTAATTGTAGCTGGTATTTTGTTTTAATAAAGCAACATGTTTTTTGTTTGTTGTTGTTGTTGTTAGTCCTCACCCAAGGATATTTTTTCACTGATTTTTAGAGAGAGTAGAAGGGAGGGAGGGAGACAGAGAGAAACATAGACATAAGAGAGACACATTGATTGGTTACCTCCCACACACTCCCCAACCAGGGCTGTGGATTGAGCATGCAACCAAGGTACATGCCCTTGACTGGAATCGAACCCAGGACCCTTCAGTCCACAGGCTTATGCTCTATCCACTGAGCCAAACCAGCTAGGGCTGTAGCTGGTTTGCTGATATATTATAAAACTATTAATGTTGTATCTGGCTATAGAGTTTTTCAATTGGGCTTTCTCAAATTTTATAGAAAAATTATCAGACCATCTGAAAATGATTTATTTTTGTAAATAAACTTATAGCTTTTCTTTTTTATTTTCCTTTTGAGTTCTTGCCTTACTCTATGCCAACAGTGTTGCCTAGTCCATGATCCACAGAGTCCTAGTGTACTATGAATTTGAAAAATGCTAGATATTTTATCTTCCTCTCATAGGTTCACAAGTTACACTTGGGAGCATTAAAAGTTATATGGTAGCCCTCACCCAGCCGTGGGCAAACTACGGCCCGCGGGCCGGATCCGGCCCGTTTGAAATGAATAAAACTAAAAAAAAAAAAGACCGTACCCTTTTATGTAATGATGTTTACTTTGAATTTATATTAGTTGACACAAACACTCCATCCATGCTTTTGTTCCGGCCCTCCGGTCCAGTTTAAGAACCCATTGTGGCCCTCGAGTCAAAAAGTTTGCCCACCCCTGTGGCCTAACCGGTTTGGCTCAGTGGATAGAGCATCAGCCTGCGGACTCAAGGGTCCCAGGTTCGATTCCAGTCAAGGGCATGTACCTTGGTTGCAGGCACATCCCCGGTGGGGGGTGTGCAGGAGGCAGCTGATCGATGTTTCTCTCTCATCAATGTTTCTGACTCTCTATCTCTCTCCCTTCCTCTCTGTAAAAAATCAATAAAACATATTTAAAAATAAAGAAGTTATATGGTAAAGAAACATAGTTAAACTTATCTAACCTTGCATTACTATTGCACCTAGTACCCCAGGAAACACCCATTAATATACCACAGGACAGTGGCAGTCCCAGTCTCAAATATCCTCTTCCCACAAGCATATGTTCTTTTAGCCTTCCCTAGCTATAAATTGTATAGTCACTACCGCTTGTAAAACCTGTGTTCATGGATTAAAGTTAAAGTAACTCTGGACAACTTCCAAGCAATCTTGAAAATGGTTGTGATAAAAAAAAAAGCATCCCTCAATTGATTAATGCAATGTATTGTAATAGTTAACTTTGTTTATGTTTTCTTTTTTTTTTAACAGACCTGACAGAGGTTTATGTAATTATTTGTTCATTTAAAAAGAGTTTTCTCTTTCATTTATTAACTCTACTAGAGGCCCGATGCACAAAATCCGTGTAGGTCTTCGCAGCCCTGGCTACCTCACGGTTGTTCCGGAAGGTCGTTCTGGAAGGTTGTTCTGGAAGGTCGTTCCACCATCCAGTCTAATTAGCATATTAGCTCTTTATTATATAGGATAATTTTGTATGTTTTATTCATTAATTTCTGCTTTTATTTTTCCTGTCTTCCTCCTTCTTCCCTTGAATGTGCTTTGCTCTCATCTTTTCTAATTTGGGAAGTCGGGTTCTTAGTTCATCTATTTTTATATTTTCAACTACATATCAAAGTGTATGAGATTTAGCCAAATGTTAACATACTTCTATTACTAGAGAGAGAGAAAAGGTGGGGGAGGGAGAGATTAACCCATTAAATTTCAGGCTCATGCTTCTCTCATAGAATACAATGCAGTAATTAAACTTAAATCGAAAGAGCTAATTCAGGTAAGAATTTTGAAAAATATTGAGGTATAGAGAACCCAAACACCCAGATTCCCTTCAACTCTGGGCAAATCAAAGTCAAAGACAGGCACAGAAGCTCAGCCGAAATGAATGTGCATCTCAAGGACTCTTTGGGAGACAAAGTTTAAGATTGTAGAGGCTGTCTTCATTTGAGTTCCTCCAGAAGCCAACCTGAAGCAAGAATTCCCAAGAAAAAGGTTTATTTAGGAAACAATGGCAGAAAACACTACTAGGGGAGTGGGGAAGTGAGCTGAGGAAGGAAGGAAGCCAATAAAAGGAGTGTTATCAACAACTTACCACTGTGGCCACTGGAGCTTGATTCTACCGTGGAACTCTGGGAGCCAGTGCAGAGCAGGTGCCTGCGTGTTGTCCCACCCAGCAGAGAGGGAGCTGGGGTGTTTATATGTATTCCATCAACTCCCAGCAGTTGTCTGAGGGCTGCTGAGCTGGAGGCCACTTGCAGCTTGCACAGGAAGAGCCCACAGGTAAGGAATGCAGATGCTGGCCATCAGACCAGAGCTTTGTGATAAGCATGAGGGGCTAGCTAGGTGGGGTGGAGAGTGCGGGGAGTGTCCTGACTACTGCCGTAAAGGCATTAGATTTCCTTCCCTTCAACCAGCTACAAATGTCTCACCCAGGCTTGGTAACAGGGCCTGGAGTTACTTATAGGCTAATTTGTTTTCTGGGAGACATAAAACTTTATGAGGATTTGTTTCCAGTTTCGATATAACCTATTAAAACCTGGTCATCAGAGAAGTAACCCAGGGATGCTATCCAGGAGCCACAAAGCCACATTGGAGCTGGGGAAGAGGAAGGTTCTTTTTCAAAGTCAAGACACATCAGAGACCTCTGGGGTGGACAGGGCAGTAAAAAGGCAGAGGAGGCAAATGTCATCTTCATGACAATTTTATTGTCTTAATAATTACTTCACTCTTCTAGGGCCTCCTTGTGTGACAAGACCCTAAACCACAGTTGACAAAAAAACATTTATCTCTTCTAGTTCTAGTTCAACCCAGATGACCTTGAGTCCATTTCTTCGCTTCTGAACAGGGAGGGAAATAACAACAGCTACACCCGGGAGTAGCTGTAACAACTGACTAAATGGAGGGAAAGCCTCAGGATTCCTAAGTGCTTACTAATAAAAGCAAGTCGTTCTCAGAAGAATTGGTTCAGCTTAATTAGTGTGGCAATCTGTTCTCCAAAGCACAATGCAAACGCAGTATAAATAAAAGGGATTTGACCCTATGTTTTATTGCCAATTTCCCAAGAGTGAAGATTAATAAAGTCTCGATTCAGGTCAGCTGTCTTACACTGATGGATTTACTCTCCGAAGTGATATTTCAAAAATTAAAATGTGTTCCCATCAATACCATGCCCTTTTAAAAATGCAGTTTTCTTACATGTGTTAGTCGAGTTTTACAAACTGCTTACTATGCCACAGTAGAATAGTTGCCAATAATATGGGCCTTTCTTTTGCTGCATGGAATTTTGGGTAGGTACGATCAAAACGCTTTTCCTCTGCAGAAAAGATGTTACCTATGTAATCATCACCTGGCCTTTTGGGTGAATGGCTTCCTCAACTAAAGCCTTCACAATTTGCAATTTTATGTTTTCTGTCTCGTTTCTGGCAATAAACAATAATGTCCCCACATAACTGCTTTCCTGATTTCAACTTAAATTCGGAGGCCACAGGAAGATGGTGCAGGACTGTTTCTGTGCCACCTAGATCCACCCACATGCCTTGCTTTCTTTTTTTTTAAATATGTTTTTATTGATTTTGGAGAGAGAGGAAAGGAGAGAAACATCAACGGGCCACCTCCTGTACGCCCCCTACTGGGGATCGAGCCAGCAGCCCAGGCATGTGCCGGCAACCTCCTGGTACACAGGGTGACACCCAACCAACTAAGCCTCACCCACCAGGGCCACATGCCTTGCTTTCTGGCCCTCGTGACAGCTTGTGACAGCGGAGCCAGGTCATTACTTCCCCCATTGCCACAGACAGGGCTGTTCCAGATGCAGGGTGCCCCTGCAAAGCAGCCACCTGCTTGGAGAGGCTGGGTGACACAAGCTAGAGTATGGTGGCGCTACACCACATGGGGTGACTGACCAGTGGGAGACAGAGTCTGTTTCTCCCTCTGGATGAGAGGCAATGAGGTCATCTTCTCCCATCTGTCAATCTCTTGTCACCCAGATTTGCCCACCTGATCTGGCAGATTAGTCCGGTGATCCTTTCTTCCTTCACCTTTCTGAGTGTATCCCTTCTTTGGCCCCTGGCTCATAGCATTCCCCACACCCCAGACAGAACAGCAGTTAGGGGTGTGGCCTCTACAGTCTGAGTGTATACTCAAGCACCACCTCCTTGACCAGATATACTACTTCACCTCTCTGTGCCTCAATGCCTCCACACATATAATGGGGTTGAAATAGCCGGGCCAGTGTTAAGGAGCTGGTAGAGGATGAAATGAGTTAATGCACGCAAAGGGCTTGAAAGAGTTCCTGGCCCATGAGTGCCAATAAGTTTAGTTCACATTTTTATTCATTTTCTAGTCATCTCCATGGGAGTTTTTATCATCCATGTAGATGAACCATCCCACACATTAGCCTTAGAGTTTGACCATCCTAGCTACACACATAGATCCCCCATCCCACTCTGATTGAGGCACTGTATTAATCTACTTGGGCTGCATGACAAAATATCACAGGCTACAGGCTTAAATAACAGACATTTATTTTCTCACAGTTCTGTGTTGGGGTCCAACCCCAGCAGGTCCAGGGGTTTCCAGAGGTGTGGACGGAGTCAGTGAAGAAGAAATGACATGGAGACAGCATTCAGTTGATCAGCAGCCTAGCCAGGTTCTCTAGTCAGGATCTCCAGCCAAGTTCTGTCTTTATTGTCCAGTTACGTCTGTATTTACATATACCAGTTGATTTTAATCCTATCCATTCTATTCCAAAGGTTAGGGCATTTGTTAATCTAGTTCTGTTGAGTTTAATCCTATCAATTCTATTCCAAAGGTTAGGGAGTTTGTTAATCTAGTTCTGTTGAGTTTAATCCTGTCTAGGTTAATCTCTGAGTTCCATTATAAGGGCTATTCCAGGGTCACTGCTCTACTAATAGGCTACAAGGAAGTGACTGAAGGAGATTCTCCTACCCAGTAAAGGTTATGTCCTCCCAGCCTCCCTGCTTGCCTTCCCTGGGACTGCCCTGTGTCAGTGAGTCTCCAGGGGTATAGGCTTTGGTGCTTTCCCCGGTGGGCAGACCCCGGGGATGTGGGCCCAACAAATCCCAAATTTATTGCCAACAGTCTTAGTCCAAGTTCTTCATAAGTAGTACATGGTATTTCTGTAACACTAGGGGCTTCACTAATTCATTCCCTTCCTTAGTCCTGTTAATTCCTAACTCCAGGGAAAAATCCCTACCTGGGGAAACAACCTTTCTCGGGGAGGTGGTCCTGGTTAAAACACATAGCACTAAGAGCGGGAGCAAACATATGCCATATATGCCAGGTCCCTTGAAACATAAGCTGTGCAAATGTTTCTTCCCTGCAGCGACTGTGTCAAGCAGCAAGGGTGGACCAGCTTCCGGCAAATTCCCCCATTTTTATTTTTTAAATGATAGCGCATATAAATCAGCAGCCACCTCTCGGATTGGGTTGTTTAAGACTCGGAAGAAAACTGACAAGCAATGATAGCGAGCATAGCTATAAACATAGTGGATGGAGTGCACATGTAGCCTTGTTCCTGTAGAAGGTTGCTGGCCTCTTCAGTCAAGGGATTTCAGCTGTCCTCAAGTCGGTGGTTTTGTTGTCTTTATTGATCTGGCTAGTGGGCAGCGTCATTGGCAACGGGCTTCCCGAAGCATCAGCGCATTGAAGGGCTGGATCAAAGGGTCCATCAGGGCTGCGCTTGATGGTGGTGTCGGCGGCATCCGGGGAGGAGTCAGCTGTGCCCTCTAGGTCGGCTGATATGGATGATACTGGGGAGGAGGAGGGTGAGGCGGAGATGGAGGGCGGTGAGACATAAGGTCAGACTAGACCAGTGATGGCGAAACTTTTGAGCTCGGCGTGTCAGCATTTTGAAAAACCCTGACTTAACTCTGGTGCCATGTCACATATAGAAATTTTTTGATATTTGCAATCATAGTAAAACAACGACTTATATTTTTGATATTTATTTTATATATTTAAATGCCATTTCACAAAGAAAAATCAACCAAAAAAAATGAGTTCGCTTGTCACCTCTGACACACATGTCATAGGTTCGCCATCACTGGACTAGATGGTCTGGAATCCACACAGGTGAGCCTGCATCCTTGGAGGACACACTTCCATCTCTCCCCACGGTATCCCCTCTGGTCTGCTCCTGGGATTGGGTCAGCAGCTGGGATCCAGAGCTGGGAAGAGAGCTCTTTGGTGTCTCTTCCTCTTCTTATCCTCAGGAAGATCCAAGTCTTGTGGTAGCTCTGCCTCCGTCTCAGGGGGTTGCACCTTACCCTGCAAGGTGTATAGCAGTTGAAGGAAGGTCTGGTGCCTCTGCAGCTTGTCCCGCTCCTGCCCTGCTTGCTGCTTCAAGGTTCCAAGTTCCTGACGAAGCTGCTCAAGCTTCTGCTGAGTTCCTGCCTGACGCTGCCTCACCTCTGCAGAAACTTCTGCCAAGTGCTGTAGACGCTTCTCCTGTTGCAGCTTCCACTGCTTCTGGGCTGTTCTGCGTTTCTCCATGGCTACTTGCTTCTTGGCCTGGAGCTGCTCAAGGGCCTCCTGGAGCTGTGCCTGCTTCCTTTCGGCCTCCTCCATCTTGGGCAGGGCCTGGATCACGGCCCTTGAGATGGCCTCCACGTGTTCTTGGTAGGTAGCCTTCAGCTCTTTCCATTGCTCCTTGGCTGCCATTGCCTTCTGTCGGCTCCTGTCTTCAGAAGCCAAGGGGTCCAGGCCCTGGACAATGTCCTCCTGAGCCAAAAAGTTCTGCAGGAAGTCCACTGCTTGAAGATGGCTGCAGAGCACCTTGTTCTTCTTTCGGAAATCCATCACAAACTCAGCCAGGACCTGTCCAGGCACCTCCACCTTCTCCTGCAGGCCTATAGGCTCCAGGATGTTTGCCAGCTGGGCCAGGGACTCTATGGCTGCAGCCTCGGCCTCGGTCTCCACCACCTCCATCCTTCCCAGCACAGCCTTTCAGCCTTGGGCGCCAGATGCCAGGGTCCAGCCCCAGCAGTCCAGGGGTTCCCAAAGGTGTGAATGGAGTCGGCGAAGAAGGAATCACACGGAGATGTTCAGTTGATCAGCAGCCCAGCCAGGTTCTCTCACCAGATTCTCCAGCCAGGTTCTGTGTGTATTTCTCCTGTTACATCTGTATTTATACCTGTTGATTTTAATCCTATCCATTCTATTCCAAAGGTTAGGGCGTTTCTTATCTCCATTCCAAGGTTACTCTATTGTTCTATTAAGCTACAAGGAAGTAACTGAAGATTATCCTAAGTAAAGATTATGTAGCTTAAGCGTGATTGATCGTAGTTAAAGTGATTAACTACCTGACTGGCACTTAGTTAAGGGGTTTTGTTCCCTCCCTAACTCCAGGGAAAAATCCTCACCTGGGGAAACAACCTTTCTAGGAGAGGTGACCTGGGTTAAAACACATAACGCTAAAAAGGGGAGCAAACATATTAAGAACAGTATGCTATATACGCCAGGTCCCTTGAAACATATGCTGTGCAGATGTTTCTTCCCTTCAGCAACTGTGTCAAGCAGCAAGGATGGACCAGCTTCCGGCAGTTCTGGAGATTGGAGTCCATGATCAAGGTGCTGGGAAATTCCATTTCTGGTGAGAGCTGGCTTATAGACAGCCACCTTCTCCCTGCCTCTTCAGATGGCCTTTCCTCTGTGTGCATGTGGAGAGAAGAAAGCTCTTCGGTGTCTCTTCCTCTTCTTATAAGAGGAATCCTACTAGATTAAGACCCCATCCTCAGGACTTCCATAAAGACCCTATCTCCAAATACCATTATTGGGGGTTAGAGCTTGAACATATGGATTGGGGGAGGAGGACACAATTCCATCCATAACAGTCACACACTTCTAGGGTCACAACGTGCAACATGCCATTGTCATGGACAGCCATAACTTCCTGTCCTTCAAGCTCTCAATGCCCTCACTCTCCCCACATCTACTATCTGACTACTCCGATTTGTACCATTTCTCTTTATCATCACCTCCCTAGCGCCCTACTAGTGCCCTTCTTTCCCCTACTTTTCTTGGACCTCACAACTGATACTCCATAAGCCCCTGGCCTAGGCATTTCAAGAGCACCACTTCGGGATCATCTCCAAGAAACATGGATTTGAGAATCCACAGGTGGACTTCTTAGCTACATCCTGTCTCCCTAAGTATTGACATGATGCCCAGTGAGATGTCACCCATTCTGGAGGGGGGCTCCGTACGATACTCAGAGCTGTACAGCAATCCAGGAGTCTATCGGGTCCTGCCAACAGTTCATCCCTCAGTTCTCTGCCAGGACCACAGCAAAAGAAAACAAGCTACAGAGAGAACTAGCCCTCATCATCTAATGCAGCGTGTGAATGAAACGGGGCTCCTGATCCCTGACACTCCTTAACTGTCCTGCTGAGAAAAATTTATGAATCACGCTTAACATTCTCCGCCCTCCTCCCACCTTCTATTCATCCTCAATCAGCTTCTCTCGGCTTCAGCTTTCTCATATCTAAAAAGAGATACCTCTTAGGAGGCAAAAGAAAATTACATCAGATAATATATGTAAAATAATATCAAGCCCAGTTGATGAAACATAATAACCCCTCATTGAATGCTGGTTATTACCCCATTTCTTGACCATTCCCATAGTGTTTGCATTTTATGTATTCATTTTATATTTTAAAGAACATAGTAACATTACACTGGGTGGAATATTTTTTAAATCACCAATAATTTTACCACCTAACACAGCTATTTCCCATTTTATGTGTTCCCTTCCATTCTTTGATTACATGATTATGTATTTTTAGGGCATTGCAATCAAGAGTGTGCATAAAATTTCACGTCATTATGTCCCTATATTGCTATGATCTCCATAATTAAAATTTTCATGACTGCATAATATTTTATCAAGAGACTATAGTATGGTTTAATTAATTATCCTAGAATCGAACAATTAAGTTAGTTCCAATTTTCCCTATTACAATAAGAATGGAGTGCAATAAACATTTTTGTGTTTATTACTTTGTTTCCTTATTTGGGATTATTTCTTCCTGACTTATTTTTGCAAGTCGAATCTCTGTGTCAAAAAAAAAAAAATGTAATTCTGCCCTAACCAGTTTGGCTCAGTGGATAGTGCGTCGGTCTGCGGACTGAAGGGTCCCAGGTTCGATTCAGGTCAAGGGCATGCACCTTGGTTGTGGGCACATCCCCAGTAGGGAGTGTGCAGGAGGCAGCTGATCAAAGTTTCTCTCTCATCGATGTTTCTAACTCTCTATCCCTCTCCTTCTCTGTAAAAAAATCAATAAAATATATATATTTTTAAATGCAATTCTTTTTGGAGTTCCTGTGCATTTTGCCATGTTGCCTTCAAAGCCTCTCCAGCCACCTCCACTGCCAGTGGGAGTGCTTTCCTGGGAGCAGTGCATTTTCACAAAAACGTTTGTTATTCTCCAGTTTTTAAGTGCTTAGGAGACTTGAGAACAGGAGTGGCCAACACCCTTAAGCTACTTGAAGGCAGTGGGCCCGCAGTTTCATTTTCATGTGGTAGTATTTTCCTTGAAATCCCTACTCTCCAGCGATAGCCACCTTCTCCCTTCTACTTCTAGAGCCTCCTTTTCTGGGCCGACCTTCAGTCCTCCTCATCCCCAGATGCAGGCTCTCTTGTTGATCATGTAGCATAATGGTTTGGGACATGAGTTTGACTTTATGGCTGCTCTTGTTACTCAAAATATAGGCTCAGTTCTGCTGGATAATATCCAGAGGAAAGGAGATACCAGAAGGAGCAGGTGGACAAGGTCTTACTCAACGACACTTTTGTGGGGTCCCAGAATCCAGGAGGAACAAGTCCTTAACTTTGCAAATCCCAAAATTTCCATTTTGCCTGATCTCTGCCCTAGATGAAGGCCAGAAGAAAGGAGGATTCCCTCAAACCCAATCCAGGTAAAGTGGTGGCTTTTATTAATGATTGGAGCATGCAGATAATGTACAGACTTGAGAAGTTGTGCTCCAAAAGGTATCTGAGAGGAGGAAAGCAGTTCATAACTGAGTCATTTGGTCTGAAGGGATGGAGGGAAAGTAGGAGTTAGCCATTTGGTAACTAGAGAAGATAGAGAGACTGGGGCACTAGAGATTGAGAAGTAGAAACTTGGGTAGGTATGGAAGGGAGGATAAAGGTGAGGTGGGTGAGTGTGGTGCTTGGTTAGTGCTGCCACTGGGGCTGAGGGCACAAGGATATGGTAGAGTTGGAAAGTCAGTGGAAACAACATTCAGGCAGAAGATGGAAGGGGAGTTTGTAAGAGCAGCAGCTTTCCTCAGGTGCCCAGAGGAAAAGTCTCCCACTGCAATTCAAAACAGGGGCCCCTGTCTGAAACCAGGGCCTTTGGAAAATAAGGAGGTCAAAGGGTGCAAGAAGGTCAAGTGGGACAGGATGTGGAACTAGGGAAGTGTGACCTCTTCCGGAGGGCATCACACCCCCAAGATAAGGTTAGGGCCAAATACCTACATGGGAGGGGTACACCCGTAATGTTTTGGTGAGCTATGGTTCCAGGGCAGTTCTGGATTGGTAATGAATGCAGGCATCCTTTGAACAGGCCAAGCAGAGATCAAAGTGGACAATGTCCTGAGTGTCAAAGGAAGAGTGTCTATCACACGCAGTGACCTGAGGGGCAACACTTCTGTTGGGATCCACGTTAACAAAGGTAATTGTAGGTATGAATCTTGCTGGTCAGCACTCTGAGCCACCCACCCCTGGCTGACACAGGCCTTCCAGGTGTCACTGGAAAGGGACAAGGCCTGGAGCAGGGCTGCCTCAGGCTGGCCAGTAGTGTGAGGGTACTTAACTGTGCAGAAAAGATTTCAACAGCATGAGTCCAGGTGATTTTTTAAAAGTGTGTTTATTACCCTTAAACTTCTGGCTTCTGGCTGAGCGGCACTCCCCCTGTGGGAGTGCACTGACTGCCAGGGAGCAGCTCCTGTGTTGAGCGCCTGCCCCCTGGTGGTCAGTGCATGTCATAGCAACCAGTCATTCCACCGTCTGGTTGAAACTGGCTCTCCGACATCCCCCTAGGGGTCCTGAATTTCGAAAGGGAGCAGGCCAGGCTAAGGGACCCCACAAGTGCATGATAGGGGTTGGGGAGGGATACCGGGAGGTTGACCAGCCAGGGAGGGACCGCAGGTAGGCTCCAGGGCGTGTCCAGCCTGTCTCACTCATTCCCTATTGGCTGGACCCCAGCAGCAAGCTAACCTACTGGTCAGAGCATCTGGCCCCTGGTGGTCAGTTCACATCATAGCGAGCAGTTGAGCGGCCTAGGCATATCATTAGCATATTTTTTTGATTGGTTGAACGGCCAACCCGATGGCCAGATACTTAGCATATTAGGCTTTTGTTATGTAGGAATATATTTTTAATTGATTTCAGGGAGGAAGGGAGAGATGGAAATATCAGTGATGAGAGAGGACCATAGATCAGCTGTCTCCTGCATGCCCCACACTGGGGATTGAGCCCACAAACCAGGCATGTGGCCTGACCAGGAATCGAACTGTGACCTTCTGGTTTTAAGTCCAATCACTGAGCCACACCGACCAGGCTGGATTTCTGTTATCTATCTCCCTAAATAGGGTGATTTAAGCTATTTACCCTCTGGTTGAGAAAGAGAAGTATAACCATTTTCTCTCAAGTGTCCTTAGGAAAGATAAGATTTTGCAATTTACTAGATGGCTGTAAACTGCTTGGCCATTTAATTATCTGTCTCCGTTTTCCTATTCCACTTGTCCTGGCTTCCTAGCCTGTCTGACAGGCATTCTGCGTCTCCCAAAGCCCCGTGGAGGCCCCACACCTCCTTGGTTGGCTCTGTGGTGCGTAGGCGTCCTGCAGAGTCCTCAGTTCCGTAGTTCTGGGAGGAAGGTTTGGGGTGAGGAATTTCCCAGAGACAAGTTGCCTTGCTCTCTCTTTC